GTAAGAACCGTCTCCATGTCGTAAGCGAAATGAGTTTTTTGCCGTAAGAGAGTACGTGCTTCGGTCCTACTAGTACGATGAGAGTAAGATCTGAGAGGACGAGTCACGTGTGCGAGTCAGAGAGTGCGAGACGGCGCAGGGGTGGTGGCGACCGCGGGAACTTGCCGCGGGGTCTCGAGGCGGCTGCGTGGCGATGCGCCGCCGCAGCGACCCATCCACCCTTTCCTCACCATCGATTCGATTCGATGCATGGTTTGATGCAGGTTGGCGCCGGCGGGGGTGCAAGGGCTCCACCTCTACCACTCCAGTCTCTGTTTCAAGACGAATAGCTGCTTGCATCCATCGCACCTCACGTGGAGCTCGAGGGACGCGAGGTGAGCTCTGTACCTCGCTCCTATTCTCTTGTGCACCATGTCTCTTGCAGCGTGCAATATTTCACCGAGTTGAATGCGTTTTTACCACATTGCACTTTCCAAAGTGCAAACTCGCGGATCGCGGCAACCAGTTGCTGCTCGATTTGCACACCGTCGTCGTCGCCTGCGTCCCGGGCTCCACGGACCCAAAGCGACGCAGCGGTGTCGAGACGCGCGCGACACGGCGTGGACTCTACAAAGAACCCGCGCGAAGAGTATCCCCCCATCATCGCTAGCACTACCCGCCATCCCGATCAGTTGCTTGCAATTTTTCATTCCAATCATGGACCGCCACACCCTCGGTACGCGGTGTCATTGGCAGCAACAACGGGCCGTCAATTGGTCTCTTGAAGGAGGACTGACCTTGCAGCGTTGTGGGTAGAACGAGGGGTGGCGTTCGCACGGCAATTGCCGGTCTGTAATGCTGTGAGATTCCATTTGGCTAGAGAAAGCACTTGGCGTCGCACCAGCCGGTGGGGTTGTCGCGCCCATCCTTGAATGGCGCCATGTAGTAGACCGTCCTGCGTCGGTTTGTCCCAGTAAATCCCACCTCATATCCATATCCACATTTAGTGTGCGCTGCCACGTCGCGGGTCGAGAGAACGGTCGTCGATCCAGCGGTAGTGAGACCATATACGTGCAGTGCAATGGCCTTGGCGTGCGCCATCCAGGTCCATGCCCGCGCGTAACAGTCCACGTCGAACGCAAGCTGCAGAGACAAGGGTGCGACCACTGGTTTCTTCAACCGCAGGACAACCGTCGCTCCTTCCTTGCTGAATGCACGCACTCGAAGCCTTAGTACAAAGGACTCGACTGCCGTCGAAGCCTAGAAGGACAGCAAGCACGCCTATGCACTGCTCTCGTCGCACCTGCCTCCTCGTCCGGAGCTGCGAGGCTGCATCCCACGCTATTTCCGGTGCGTGGGACATACGGGACAAACCCAACGGGCCAGCGGCGTATCCGGACATCGACCCGATTATCCGGATTCGCCCGCGGTCCTCCGTGGCTCATTTTCGATTCTTGTCCACGGGAAGCAAGCGACGATGGTCAAGTTCGGCAAGAAGCTGCTGCTCAACGTCAACCCCGAGTGGGAAGGGTACGTCGCCTGCATGGACCATGGCAGCAGCATGCGCGTGAAGATGGCGCCTTCCTCGGCGCAAAGCGAGCGGCGCCGTGGAGCCCATCGCACGCGCTCCTGCGGGCCGAGGCGAAGGATAGGCAACTCATGCAGCCCGTAGGCAATACCTCGAGTACCGCCAGCTCAAGAAGGACCTGAAGAAGCTCACGCTCCGCTCCAAGGACCCGAACGACCCGCTCTTCTCCCCAAGTCGCAGGCCAAGATCGCCGAGTTCGGCGAGGCTGAGACGCGCAAGGAGCTGCAGCAAGAGTTTGAGAAGAAGCTTGACGCGGAGATTGAGAAGATCGTGCTCTTCTTCCTTACGAAGCAAGGCGAGTTTGCGCAGCGGCTCGCGACGTACCGCCAAGCGCAGCAGTCGCTTCAGTATGCGTCCGAGGCGCAGACCATCGCGAGCCTCGCCGACGGGTACCGCAAGATCGGCGAAGAGCTCGTGCATTTGCTGCACTACGTCGAACTCAACGCGACGGGGCTTCGCAAGATCCTCAAGAAGCACGACAAGAACAACAAGGCGCACAAGATCACGGACAACTACATTAGCACGCGCGTCGACGCCAACGTCTCGCACCTCCAGCAGCTCTACCACGACGAAGGTATGACATCCCATTCCCATGCTGCCACGTGCTTATGTTTCATGCTAGGTATCTCGGCCATCATCGCGACGATCCGCGTCGCGCTCAAGGACCTGCAGTCGCTCCAGGCCGACCTTGGTTTGCTGCCATCGCCGCTCGCCGCGCCGACGCCGTCGTACAAGTCGTCGTCGACGACCCTCGTCAAGATGGAGCGCTCGATCAGTGAGACGGAGCCGATTCTGAACAAGATCTCGGTGGCGCGCCAGCGGTTCGTATCCCTCTTCCACGTCCGTCGCACGTCTCATGCATGTACCTAGGTT